CAAACTTAATCATGCTTTCAAGGCCCAGTTCCAGGGGCCTCCTCTTCTAAGAGGTCAGAGAGGAGTCCCCACCCCAGACTCCCATAGGTCTCCAGGTTAATTCTTTCTTCCAATGTACATGGGGAAAGGGAAGGAGGGAAGGAGACCCATGGTGACTGGCTGCCTCCCACATATGTGTTCAGCTTGTTCTAATTCTCATGACTCTCTTGGGGTAGGACCTGGTAGTCTCTTCTTGTGGACGGGGCGGGGTGGGGGGGGGGGAAGCGGAGCCTCGGGAGGGTAAAATGAGTTGTCCAGGGTCACACAGCAAGTGAGTGGCACACAAGGGTATCAATCAGGGTGACACTTGAAACTGGGGGTCTGCGCTGTCTCCCTTCTGTGGGAATTTGGTCAGTCTGACACTGAGGTCCCCATGTAAAGGCAGGGGACCCAAAAGAGATGGGAGCTCCCCTCTAATCCCTCTTCCACTGCCCCCCCCCCCGCCAGAGCAGAGCCGCCAGGCACCGTGGACGCACTCCTAGGCCGCTGTGGCCCCAGCCCCGCTTGACAGGATGAGCAGCTCAGATGCGGGGCTGGAGGAGGAGCCAGAGCTCAGCATCACCCTCACCCTGCGGATGCTGATGCACGGGAAGGTGAGTGGGGGCGGGGCCCGACAAGGCAGGGCAGGCCAGGAATGTGAGCTCCTGTGTCCTGTCTCGGCTAGATTCCCCATCCTGGTGGCCCGGGCTGGGCCTGGGGCACCACTCCCCCCTGACTATGCTCTTGTCTTGTTTGCAGGAGGTTGGCAGCATAATCGGGAAGGTAGGTGCTCAGTTCTATTCTGTGCGGACCTCCACCTGAGGCCCCAGTGACCGCTGGGGCTAAGAGTCATTCTGTATTTTTTCTCCCACAGAAAGGAGAGACTGTAAAGCGAATTCGGGAGCAGGTGAGGCTGGAGTTTGGGAGAGCTGCCCAGGGCATCTGGTTTGGAGGGGAGGGGAGATACCTGCCCCACCTTTTTCCCTGCCCTCCACCATTTGGGATGACCAATGAGTGCCCTTGGAAGGTAGCTGTTTCCAGTGGTGGGCTGGGGCCTGGTGGGGTGGCAGGCAGACAGGTTCCCCGCAAGGAAGTGGAGAAGGAGCCCCACCGCCTGGCGTTGTGTGTCCCCGCAGAGCAGCGCCCGGATCACCATCTCTGAGGGCTCCTGCCCCGAGCGCATCACCACCATCACAGGGTCTACAGCAGCTGTCTTCCATGCAGTCTCCATGATCGCCTTCAAGCTGGATGAGGTCTGTGGCTGGCTGGGCTGGGAGGCTGGGAGTGATTCCCTGGACCGGGGCGCCACACAGGGGCTGCAGGTGGCAGGGAAGGCCAAACCCAGGGTGGGCTAGGTTCCTTCATTAGGGTAGGACCTAGGGATGGCTTCTCCCCTTCACACCACAGCAGGCAGGTTCTCCATGGGAGGGGGAGCAGCAGGGGCATGGAGAGCCAAACCACGGTCTTCCTGCCCAGGACCTTTGTGCCGCTCCCGCAAATGGTGGGAATGTCTCCAGGCCTCCGGTGACCCTGCGCCTCGTCATTCCTGCAAGCCAGTGTGGCTCACTGATTGGCAAGGCTGGCACCAAGATCAAGGAGATCCGAGAAGTGAGGAGAAGGGGGATACCACCCTCAGGGAGTCCTACCCTTCCCCGGACTTACGGCTTCCTGTCCCCTGGGGAGCTCAAAGCCTGGGCAGCCCTGGCCTGGATTATGAGGGTAGCCAGAAGTGGTCCCTGTTCTCTGCTTGTAGACCACGGGGGCCCAGGTACAGGTGGCAGGAGACCTGCTCCCCAACTCTACAGAGCGTGCTGTCACCGTGTCCGGGGTGCCTGATGCCATCATCCTGTGTGTGCGCCAGATCTGCGCTGTTATCCTGGAGGTGCTTCCTTGGTGCAGGGAGAGGGGACGGGGATGGGCCTGCCATCCTGCCTTGTCAGGCTCCCTAACCTTATACCTGTGGCACCAGCTGGAGGCCAGGCTGGGCTTCAGGGATGGACTAGGAGCTCCAGAATGTTGGGATGCATTTACCTGGGGGTCATAGTGAAGGCCTTGGGAACATAGGGCCCTTGGGGAGGTCAGAGGGGCCAGGGAAGGGCCTGATAGGGCCTCCCCCTTTTGTGCCTTCCAGTCCCCACCCAAAGGAGCTACTATCCCATATCATCCGAGCCTGTCCTTAGGTACCGTCCTTCTCTCTGCCAACCAGGTGAGGTGGGACAGTAGGATGGGAAGGAAGCATTCCTGGAGAAGGGGGTTGAAGTGGGGGAGGGATGGAAGAAGGACTTGGGGGCTGGCAGGGGGGGAGGAGTGATTGGCCAAATTGCTCTGACTTGTCACAGTCACCCTCTTTCCCCCACTTTGTCCTCACAGGGCTTTTCCGTCCAGGGTCAGTATGGGGCTGTGACCCCCGCTGAGGTGAGTAACCATAGCCCCAGGGACCCCTTCCGAAACCAGGCTTCCTCTGACTCCTGACCCTCTTCTTTGGCACAGGTCACCAAGCTCCAGCAGCTTTCAGGCCATGCAGTCCCCTTTGCCTCCCCCAGCATGGTGCCAGGTGAGTGGCCCTGCAGAAGGAGGCAGGGGCAACCCCACTGGGAGTGTACGTGGGGAGGCAGGAAAGGCCCAGCGCCATGTCCAATCCCTCTTCTCCTCCCTCCTAGGACTGGATCCCAGCACACAGACCAGTTCACAGGAGTTCTTGGTTCCCAATGACGTGAGCAGAGGATGGGGTGGTTTGTGGGGGTGGTTCCTGGGGTCTAGGCCTGGCCCAGGGTTGAATTCCACTCTCCCCGCAGCTGATTGGCTGCGTGATCGGGCGCCAGGGCAGCAAGATCAGTGAGATCCGACAGATGTCAGGGGCACATATCAAGATCGGGAACCAAGCGGAAGGTGCTGGCGAGAGGCACGTGACCATCACTGGTTCCCCTGTCTCCATCGCCCTGGCCCAGTACCTCATCACTGCCTGGTGAGTGTGGGGTGGGAGTGGTCCAGGTCACAGGGCTCAAGTGCCTGTAAAAGGCACGATGGGGGTGGGGAGAGCTGATCTCCCTTCTCTGTCTCTGTCTGGGTACATCCTCTGTCTCCCCGAACCCTCGCCTTACCCACTCCATGTGGCCCCAACTTCTCCTCCACATCTGTCCCTTGTGTCCTCTTTTCCCTTGTCCCTGTCTCTTTCCCCCGGGTTTCAACCTCCCCCATCTCCCCTCACTGAGTACCATACCTGCTTATCACTACTCTTCTGCCATTCCCATCCTCCCCTCAATATCCCCTCACCATGTCATTATTCTTGATTCCTCTTTGCCTCTCATCTAATCTGCCCCATATTTACCCTTACTGCCCCTCTCTTACCTCCACTGTTCCCTTCATCTCCCCCCATATCCCTCTTTCCAGTCTAGAAACGGCCAAGTCTACCTCTGGGGGGACGCCCGGCTCAGCCCCCACAGACCTGCCTGCCCCCTTCTCGCCGCCCCTGACGGCCCTGCCCACAGCTCCCCCAGGCCTGCTGGGCACACCCTATGCCATCTCCCTCTCCAACTTCATCGGCCTCAAGCCTGTGCCCTTCTTGGCTCTGCCACCTGCCTCCCCAGGGCCGCCGCCGGGCTTGGCGGCCTACACTGCCAAGATGGCAGCAGCCAATGGGAGCAAGAAAGCTGAGCGGCAGAAATTCTCCCCCTACTGAGGCCGACTGAGGCACAGGCGCAGGGGCAGGCAGGACCACCGGTAGGGGGCTGCCTCTGCACCCTCCCTGCCCAAGGAGACTCCACCCTGGGGTCCCAAATGCCACTAATGCCCAGACGCATGGATGCACCCCTCCACCCAGCCTGGGTCTGTGGGAGTTCCTCCTCTTGGAGTGAGAGCAGTTTCTGGCCCAGGGTCCGGGAGCCGCAGCCGCCCCAGGGTATGGGGCTCCACCCCCTGTAGCTCTATGCTTGGATGCAGGGAGCATCCTTAGTGCCCCCACTTCAGAGGGTCACTCATGCACTCCCCATCCCTTAGGGCTTCCCAGCCTACTGGCCCCCCTGTGGGGATCAGGGAGGAGGGCCGGGGGTGGGGGTGGCTGGGGGCCATGCTTCTCTCCCCACCTCCCTGTAGATTCCTGCTGCTTCCACTGATACCCTTTTGACTGGAATGGACTGGCTGGGCTTGGCAGAGGGCAACCCAAAGAGGGGACCCTGCCAGGCAGCTGGGGGAGTGGCATGGAGGCAGGGGCCGAATTCTCAGCAGCAGACACTCTGTACAGTTTTTTCAATCCCTGTTTTTGAATAAATATTCTCAGAGACCAGGAAGCTGTGAAACATTGTGGGTGTTGGCAAAACTCCAGAGAATGGGTGTAGCCGAGTCCCTGGAGGACCCCATCTGTGAATTCACCATTGGGTCTTGGCCCCTTCCACATGCCAGTTCTGGGGCTTCCCTGTCCTGTTGTCCAGCCTCCTGCCTCTGGCACCGCACTGATCCAGTTGCCTTCTGGGCATTTCAGAGGCTGACAGAGGTGTTCCAGTATCTTTGTCCCACCTCTTCCTGGTGCAGATGTTGGGGAAGTCCTTCTGAGTGTCTCTCCACTGGTTCCTCCTGCTGTGGCTGTTACCTAGATCTTGCCCTGCTTGGTCCATACCTTTGGCTGTAAGCCCTTAGGGTCCTCTTCTCGGTTCAGCCCACCTCCTCTCCTTCCTTGGGCTGGGGACTATCCATGAGTGTCCAAACCACCTAAGCTGAAGGAGCCCTTAGAGACAGTCCAGGATACAGATGGGAACACGCGTCTGGCTAAGGGAGGTCTGTATACAAGACTCTGCAGAGTAGGGATCCAGAACCCAGGATTCCTATCTCCCAGAAGCCTCTTGGTAGGCTGCAGGCCCCCTTTCCCGGGTTCCAGAGCCAGGAATCCAGGCAGGACACCTGCCCGGAACTGTGTAGGAGGTTGGATGGGCTCCTGATACCACCATCCTTTCTCCAGTCTCAGCTCAGCATGGGAGACCGATCTCCTCTCAGGTGGCCCCTGGCATGCTCAGGCTCTCCCCTCTTGGCAAATCTGGGGCTTGTTCTGGTGCTTCGGAAGGGCCCAGGGCAGGGCTCTGTGACCTGCCCGGGAGGTGCTGCAGAAGCGCCCGCAGGTGCCAGGTCCGCGGAGCGCAGGCCCTCGGGGGCCCAGGCAGTGCCTGACGGGCGAGGCGACCTAGTGCCCTGCGCACGGGGCGCTGCAGCAGGCCATACAGAAAGGGGTGAGCCGCGAAGGCCGAGTAGGCCACCCAGGTGACGGGCGCCTCGGCCACTGCAGCCTGCGCGGCGGGCGCCAGGCACGCACAGCCGTAAGGCAGCCAGCAGGCTGCAAACTGGCCCACGGCCAGCGCCGGGGCCAGGGCGGCTTTGCCCCCAGGCAGGCGAGGCCGGAGCGGCGGCAGGATGGAGAGGCGACTATCCAGAGAGTCGGAGCGCGGCCGGGAGAAGCGCGCGGGCCGCGGGGGCCGCAGGGCCGCGCGGCGCGCCACGAGAAAGATGCCACTGTAGGCGCCGAGCAGCAGGAGGGCGGGCAGCGCGAAGGCCAGCAGCGCCCAGAGCGGCCGGAAGGGCGCGAGGCCGCCCGCTAGGACCGAGCAGCGCGCGGGGGCCGGGGGCGGCGCGGGCGGCGGCCCGAGCAGGGAGAGCGCGCCCAGCAGCCCCGCGGCGGCCCACACAGCGGTGAGCACCAGGCCGGGCGGAGGCCGCGCGCCGGGCCGCAGCGGGTGCACTATGAGGCGGTAGCGCGCCAGGCCGAGCGCCGCCACCCCGAGCGTGCAGGCGGGCAATAGCGCCGCGGAGAGGAAGCGCGCCGCGCGGCACGGTGCGGGGCCCAGGCGCACGCGGCCCAGCCCGGGCGGCGGCGCGGCCAGCAGGCCCAGCGGCATGATGGAGGCGGCCGCCAGCAGGTCCACGACGCACAGGTGCACCAGGTAGAGCGCGTCGCGCAGTCCCGGCGTGCGCAGCACCACGACCAGCAGCGCGCCGTTGCCCAGCAGGGCTGCTGCCTCCACGACGGCCGCCAGGATCAACCCCACTGAGCCTGCGATTTCTGAGGTGTTCAGCCCTGTGGTGTTGGCCATTCGAGCGCTCAGGCTTCACCCCGTGCTGGGTTGCAGAGAGGGAAACGGAGCATCTGCCCTCCCCCCTTCCCATCACCTGTCCCTTGCTCCTCTGGCCCTTCGCCTCGGAGGCAGCCGCCGCGCTGGCTCCGTTGCCCAGGCTGCCATCCTCTCACAGGGGCTTGGCTGGCCCCATGGAGAGGTGCAAGGCTGGGACTTCAGCTCTCTCCTCTGTCCCGGCAACTCAGTCTCTGCTGGAGATGGTACTGGCTGACACTCTGCTGTTGCCCTTTAGAGACACACAGAGCTGGCAAGGGAGGGGCAGGGCCTGGCACCAGCCCCCTGGGTCCTAGCAGCTGCCAGCTGCTGGTGGGAGGCTGTGCTGTGGAAGTGCTTCGGGTGCCTCTGGAGGGGGGCCCAGAGCAGGCACAGGCTGGAGTCTAGTCTGAGGACATCAGAATGTGGGCTTTGGAGTCTGCCCCACCCTGCTCTGTCTTTCCCTGGGGTGGGAAGTAGCCCCCCACATGCTCTCCCCTCTCATCTCCATCAGTGGGAGTAATCAGATCATTCAGCCTTTGTCCTGAGGGGAAACTGAGGTACCAGCGAGACAAGTGCTGAAGCAGGGAGGGCTCCAGGAGGGCTAGTTGTCTCAGAGAGGAAATTAGGTAAGGTGAGGGGAAAAAAAAAATCATAGGCCTTGACGCATAGTAGGCTCTCAACCCGGATTAGCTTGGCACAGAATAGGTGCTTCAAGATACCGTGTAGAGTTAATGAAAGTAGGCTTTGGGGAAACAGCTGTTTTCTATTTTGTTAAAGATTTTATTGATTTATTTGCTAGAGAGCTGGAACACAAGCGGGGGGCGGGGGGCAGTGAGGGTCAGAGGCAGAGGGAGAAGCAGATTCCCCGCTGAGCAGGGAGCCTGTCATGGGGTTCCATCCCAGGACCCCGGGATCATGGCCAGGGTCCTGGGATAGACAGACGTTTAACTGACTGAACCACCCAGGCAGCCCACAGTTTTTGTTTTAATTGATGTATGGTTGACATACAATATTACAGATAACTTTGGGTGTACAACATAGTGATTCGACAATTCTATACATTACAAAATGCCCACCATGCTACGTGTAGTTAACCATCTCAAACTGCTGTTTTTTTAATGTCTTGCTGAGTACTTTTTATCTATCTACCTACCTATCTATCTATCTAAAGTGGGCTCTATAACCAACATGGGGCTTGAACCCATAATCCTGAGGACAAGAATCACATGCTCTACCTACTGAACCAGTCAGGTGCCCCTTGACTGCTGTGTTTTGTTTGGTATTCTTTTTGCTGTTAGCAAACCAGTCCCCTTCTGCTAGGAGCACCCTGAGTTTTCTTTAGGAAACCACCCACCCCAACGCTCAGAGCTTATGATTTGGGTGGGCAAGATCCCTACCCTCCGTTCTCCTGATAAGGCACAGAACCCAGTCCTGGGCAGTCCGTGTACGACATCCTCCACAGCCAATGTGGTTGGCTCAGGGAAAGCCATGTGACTCCAATGGGGCATATGCTCGGTGAAGTCACCCAGTCTCTTGTCAACACCCCACCTATACCCTGATGGCTTGGCTTGTATCTGAAGCTCCTTTCTCTCCCCAGGCTCTCCATCGTCTCCCTTAGTACTTTGACTATCGGGCCCCGTAAATGTCCCATGTCCAAAACAGAACCATGACTCTTGAGCCCTCCCCAACGTGCTCCTGGCGGTCTCCCCCAGCTCAGCAAACTCCATCTCAGAAGTTTTTACGGATGCCTCCCTTCCCCCAGGCCCCACACCCAATCCATCAGTATCTGTGAATCCGGTCACGTCGCTCTACCACAACTCCCATGGTCCCAGCCACCAGCACCTCACACTGACCCACTTCAGCATCCTCCCAACTGGTCTCCTGGCCTCTGCTTCTGCACCTTGTTCTGATCATTTGCCTGTTTGTCCCCAGACCCTTCCCCAGTCTTCCCCAGTGCTCCGCCTTCCAGGGAACTGTACTTCCCAGGTTCCTTTGCCATTGGTTTTTGGGCATATTCAGCCAATAGAAGTTACCAGCGGAAGACTGGAAGGTGGAAGGAGGGAGGAAGCCAAGGTATTCTCCCTCTCATGCTCAGCCTGGGGCTCTGGGTCTACCTCTGCGGAGGACAGCCTCTCTTTCCTTCGGGCAGCCCCCTCTGTGGCTAGGGGTCTGCAGGGAGACCCAGGCCTCTGCACAGTGGAATACCATTGCCTTCCGTTATCCTTCTAGCCCAAGGGTGGTAGCAGCTAATCTTTGCTAATCTTTGGCTCATCCCATCATCCCCTTTGATAGCTCAGTTTCTCTCCTCTATCAGATTCCCCTTGTCTGGAATCCCGAGGGTGATTTCAGCTTTGCTCACCAGATTTTTAAAAAATATGTATTTTATTTAAATTCAGTTAATTAACATATGGTGTGTTATTAACTTCAGAGGTAGAGTTCAATGATTCATCATTTGCATGTAACACTCAGTGCTCATTACATCACGTGCCCTCCTCCATGCCCATCAACCAGCTACCCCATCCCCCACCCACCTCCCCACTGACTGGATCTTGACTGACACACCCTCCAGTCCACTCTCCACAGAGTAGCTAAAGTGGTTCCCTCTAAAAACAAATCCTTTCGTGTCATGACCCTGCTGTCATCCCTCTAAGAACTTCCCATCATCAGATTAGACTCTCAGCTCCTCGGTGCTCAGGTGGCCTTCTCTCCACCCCTCTGACCTCATAGTCCTTGCTGACCGTACTTCCAAGCCATAGCAGTCATCTTGCTGGTCCTCCAGTAGATCAAACTGGTCTCCCCTTCAGGATCTTCCCATGTGTGCTGTTTCCTCTGTCAGAACACGCTTCCCTCAGATCTGTCCGGGACTTGTTGGTCCCTCACCTAATTCAGGGTGCTGCTTGAGAGAGGAGGCCATTGGGGACCATCTTTCCTAAAATGCCCCCACCTTCCCATCACTAATTCCTTACCTTGCTTTCTTTTTCTTCGGGGCACTTTCCCCACTCAGTGAATTTCTGCTCTCTGCACATGCTTGTTTAGAGCCTGCTGTCCCTGCCTGTAGGTGCCCGAGAGCCGGGATTTTGTCTTTGGGCCCCTAGAACCCACCCCGGGCACACGATCAGCATTGTACAGAGCTAGGTGGTAGCCACCAGGGCATGGGCCTCCAGATTTGACTCATTTCCTGCCGGAATTTGAAGGGCCTGGTCCAATTCTCCATTATTCAGATGAGAAAGCTGGTGCCCAGAGAGGTAAGGAATGTGTCCCAGATCACACAGCTGAGTTGTACCTGGAACCCAGGTCACTTGCTTCCTGGGCTATGTCTACACAGGCACCATTTCTGTGCTTGGCCACAACTTAAATGTGGGCTTTCGTCTCTAGGAGGTGAAGCTGGATTTCTGAGGTCTTAGTTCAGAATAAGGGGAAATCCAATGCCTTCCCATTTTCCTCTTCTCTCTGCCCAGCTGGGCTTGCAGACCTGGGACAGTGCCTGAGCCCCCGGGGCCTGGGGAGGGCTCAGCAGGACCAAGTGGGAATAGCAAATGAGAAGAATTGACTGGGGGAAGGCGATAGGGAGGGATGGAGACTATGGTAGGGTGGAGAGTTCACACTCCCTCTGAAGTATTCCAACTAAGTTAAAAACGGGGGCGATAATAGGACATTTTGTAGCTTTTGTTTTTTGGCTTTTTGCTTTTGTTTTGTTTTGGTGTTTTGTTGTTGTCATCATTGTTGTTGTTTTGTTCTAATTTGCACAAAGAAATGCGGGAAGGATTAAAAAAAAAAAAAAGAAATGTGGGAAGGATAAACCGGAAACTACAGCAGGTGGGTGGGAATGGAGTGAAAGGCTAGAGAAGGACACTCTTGTGAGCACACGTTTCTGTCCGAAAGATTAGACTTTCTGGAACTATGTCAATGTTCTATGTATTGAAAAAAACCCATCAAAGAAGACGAGGAAAACCCCCTAAGAGTTAATTATAAACAGAAACAAATGAACCTCCCTATATTTCAAGTGTAGAGCAACCATACTGAAGAGAAATAAATGGCCCATCCAAGTAACATTTGAACTTGTGCCCAAACTGCGCCGTTGACCATTGACCTTCAGCTTAAAAGATAAGTCTTAAGAAAGATTCAGTACATCATGAGCTCAGCTTATAAACTTCGGTTTTCACAATGGTATGGATGTAGCAATTCCGAAACTCCTTTGTGTGTGGGATTAAGCAGTAAGTAAATATAATTAAGGTTGATGGAAACCAAGGTTGTTCCTGTGACAGAAAGGAGGCATTTTAAGTATACATTTGGGGGAGAATGGAAGAACTCTGTGTTGGACTGGAATTGGAGAAATAGACATGGATAGATGTGTTCCTTTATTTACATATACGTATTTCCTAGCTCTCTTTGCTATAAGGCCTTGAAAGCAATGACACCGCAGTACCAAGGAACGTACCTACTGTCCAAATCTTGGATGTTAAATACCATTTCCTGCTCTAGGGAACCAGGGCTCCTTGGAGAAATGGCTGATTTCAGGTTTGCATGAGATGAGCCTGGAACATTTTGTGATGCCAGAAAGGAAGGAAGTGCTCAAAAAATGATGTAGATATGAGAGTCAGCGCAAAAAACCTTCTGCTGGCAAAATCTGGGAGATTTTGAAGATCAGAATAATTACAGTAATGGATTATAACCCATTGCATAAGAATCCACAAGTCCATATGGGTAATGAAGAAAGGGGATAGTGATTAATGAATATAAAAGAGATGAGGGAGTTAGGTAACTACCGTTTGCAACCATCTTAGCAAAAATTGATTTAAGTCGTCTATTTCAGTTAAAAATCATCGATGGATATTAAAGCCAATGGGTGAAAATCCAGGAAGGACGGGGCACTTACATCTCAAAATATTTTCCCACGGTTTACGGATTCATTACAAACAGGAAAAACGGTTGACTTTCAGGTGGAGACAGCTGGTGGATGCCACGAGAGATCGAAATTAACA